CACTCAGGTCCCCCCAAAGCTTCTCTTGTCCAGCTGAACAATCCCAGCTGTGCCAGCCTTTCCTCCCAGCAGAGCTGCTCCAGCCCTGGGATCCTCTTGGTGCCTCCTCTGGGCTCTCTCCAGCAGCTCCATGTGCTCCCTGTGCTGTTCCCAGGGCTGGAGCAGCTCTGCAGGGGGGTCTCAGAGGGGAACAATCCCCCCTGCCCTGCTGTGGAAAGGACATTTCCCTGCAAACCCACGGCCCACACAGGGTTTGTACCTTCGTGATCCGGGACCATTTCCAGGATCCTGGACCAGGGGGACACTCGGCCCCCTCGCTGGGCCCTCACACGCACAAAGTGGGGGTCATAATAGTGAGTTATGGCTGAGGAGAAGTCACACTCTGTGCCAGAGACATTCCCACACCCAGGCAGCTCCTGCCACTCTGCTCCACTGCTCTCCGACCTGCAAGAGAGGAAACACCCCCAAATTAACACCAACCCACAATTTAAACCTGGGGATAAATTTTCTTTGCTTCTTTATCTGTCTCTTCTTATTTATCTTCTTTCTCTCTTTTTTTTTTTTCCTCTTCTTCTTAATTTTTTTTTCTCTTCTAATCAACAACACCCCATTGATGCTGTTCTATCCCCAGCACCACTGTAACCAGTGCCACCTCCTTAGGAATTCTCCTGGAATTCGCGTTACCATTTAATTAATTCATTTTAACTATTAATTTATTGGTTAACAATCAACCTGCAAAGTCTGATAGCAGTTTGCTTTATGCACCATGTGAAGACACAGGGTCAGAAAACACCATCAAAGAACAGCTAAATCATAGAATTATATAAGGATTTTTACAGAATTGTTTACCCTTAATATTAGTATATTCTCCTAGTCTGGCAAAGATTTTTTTAATCCATTGGAAGACATTTAAAAAAGTCTTGATGGAAGTGTTTAAAAGAGCAAAAAAGCAGAAAAAAGCCCTCAATTTTAATGTGAGCCAGGAATGGAGATCAGGGGGAAATAAAAACACAAAGGTGTCAGCTGGAGTTCAATAATTAGTGTTCCATAAACTGTTTTTCTCTTCTTTTAACAGACATCCACACCTTAGCTAAGAAAGAGACACTTCAGGGAGAGATTAAAAACATCCTGACCTAAAAAAAGAGGCATAGACTTGAATCAGTCATGGTTTATCCTCAGCTCCTACCTTGCCTTCTTATTTTTTAAAATGAAACTGCCTTCAAAGCAGCTGTTTCTCTTTACATATGGAGGAAGAAGAGCTATTTTTTAAAAATCCATAATTACAGAATCATGGAATGGTTTGGGTTGGGAGGGACCTTCAAAATCATCCCATTCCACCCCCCTGCCATGGGCAGGGACACCTTCCACCAGCCCAGGGTGCTCAGAATTTGAGTAACTTTATCTTAGAAATGTTTTTCGCTATTTACCTTGCAGGAAAGTGCCAAAAAATACCAAATGTATGTGCTAATGCAAGCAAAAATATTGGGGTGTGAAACTACTGCAGAAAACCAGGCAGACATTTCACAACAAAACCAAAATTGTTTCCTCTGGGGATTAAAACTTGCAGATGAGAAATGTGGATTAATGATCAAATTAGTCAAAAGCTACACTGCAAATTCCCTGAAATTCTGTGTGTGTCTGTGTGGCCACGACCAAAAAAACCCCAGAGGAAAAAAATCATATTAAAAATAAATTACATAAATTAATTTTCCAAGAGTTCCAGTTAATCTCCTCAAAGAACCACTCCAGAATTAAGCATTATTATTATTATTAGCAGGTGTGTCGCTGTGTGTTTATCACTGTATTTATCACAGGTCAATCTACTTTTAGACATAAATTATAGACAAATTAGGGCCAGGACTTGGATCCCACTTCATTTCAAGATTTGTCTCCCCGAGCGGCTGCATCAGGCAGCAAAGTCAATTCAATTTGTTATGAATTCAATTGCTCCTCTGCACAGAGCAGTGTCAGGAGTTCTGGCTCACAAATCACCCCTCACCACTTGTACTGTGCCGAGAACGTCACCCCGGGCTGGCTCCCCGAGTGGCTCCACCTCAGGCTGAAATTGGTGTTCACCACGAGCACCTGGAGGTCCTGGGGGCTCTGCAGAGGAGCAAGGCCTGGAAAAACAGCACAAAGAGAAATTGGGATGGATAAATGGGCACAACTTTAGTTCCATCATTAATATTATTATTATTATTAAATTCAGGTATCAAAAGACAGGTGAGCAGCAACACTGCGGGAGAAGGAATTACTCTGATACCTCAGAAAATGGACTTTTCTCTGGTCATTTAAGCCGTATTTTCAATTATTTCTCAATTAAATATTTTCAATTATTTCTCACTAAAATATTTCTCAACCCTCGAAGCGTTGAGGCTAAAAAGACACAATCAGGGCTGCAAGTGTGGCCTGGAATGTTTTCCAGCACAGAGGGAAAGTGGGAAGGCACAGGAATTATGTGGGAACTGAGGAAACCTCACAAGTCACTAAAATGATGCCAACCCCCCCCTCCCCAAACAGTCCAGTGCAGATTTAGGGAGTTTAAACCTCTTCTCAGTCCCTCTGCCTGGTGCCCACCCAGAACATGGACAATTTAAACCTCTGTCCTCCGCCTGGAGACTCCTAACACGGCAGGGGGAAGAAACAGAATCAACAAACTAAAATGCAATCATTTTTAAAATAAAACCAAAATACGACTAAACACTTTAAACAAAACAAACTACAGCAAAACAAACTACAGCAAAACCAAAACACACCCTTTGGACTTGACCTTCCCTTCTCCCTGTTCTGTGTCACTTTATCAATCACTTCCCAAGGGCTACAACTTCTACAAACCTGTCTGAAAACCCTGAAATTGATGTTTGGTATCAGTCTAATATTTGATTATGTCAAGAAGAAATCAGAACAAGTAAATCCTCTTTCAGCTGGGCAACCAAAGTCTGTTTGGCCGTCCAATGGCTCATCCTGACTTTGATTTTAGGATTCATTGCAAGAACTATTTCCTAGTCCAGTTCCCTTTATAATGTATAAAACACGACCAACTCTCTTTATAACAGGGAAACAAGTGTGGAAAAACCAATCATCAAACTCAAGTCTGCAAAGTCCTTCTGGAGAATTAACTGGCACCAACAGATGACTGATTTTTGGAAATAACTCCTGAAAGCAAAATAATTCACTAAAAGCCTCGTGGATCCCACTCTGGGATTTATTTCCACAGGGCATGAATTTGTTACTCTTCTGACAGAGTAGAGCAAATCCAGAGAATGCCAAGGTACATTTGATCAGAAAATAAGAAAGCAAAGGAATAATTGGGGGTTTTTTGGCAGATATTTATCCAGCAGGTGCAGCAGTTCAGCCAAAAGGCTTCTGACAACAAGGGCACCTCAAGAGCTCAAAGGCTGATAAAACACAACTGTATTTGAAGACTCTTATTTTTGTTTGCCTTGGGTAGAAAATCAAATACTTGAAGTATCTTTCCCACATTTTGAAATCCTTAACTTCTACACAGAAGGAAGCTTTGGGGTGATTTTTATTAGAGAGGAAAAAGGAAGTCTGGAAAAATGGAAGAAAAATGTGTCAAGGTTCGTGTTCTAACCAAACACACCAAATAACAGGTTGATGTAAGACATCTATTTAATGTTTTAATCTAAGCCAGTGCTTTCTAAAGCTGTAGATACCCCTGGAAATCAGCATTTCCTCCCTCTGGAGACAAACAGCATCGTTAAAATGCGATATTTTA